ATTTCCTTAAGATCGTCGGCAACACTGAATTCACAGTCCGTTGAACTGATGACCTGACTAATATCGACATTAGGTGCGATCTCAATAAGTTTTAATCCTTCTCCTTTCACTACTTCAAATACTCCAAGCTCTGTGATAATTAAATCTACACATTGCTGACCTGTAAAAAACAAAAGTTATTACATACAGTAACTACAATAGAAATAATACAGAAATAATAGAAAATAATTACCATTAAAGTATATCAATTAACATTAAATTATTTTCTTATTTTACATATAGATCAAATAAAAAAAATTGAATATCGCCGGTTTTTACCTGTGACAGGCAAGGTGCAATTCTTCAAAATTTTTGGACTTCCGTCTCGGGCTGTATGCTCCATAGTTATTACTACCTTCGTGCTCGCCGCGGAAACAAGATCCATGGCACCACCCATGCCTTTTACCATCGTACCCGGTATCATCCAATTAGCTAAATCTCCATTCTCCGACACTTGCATGCCTCCAAGAATAGTCAGATCAATATGACCTCTGTGTGTAAAAAATATAATTATTAAACTTGTTTACTTTGAATATATCCCAATATTTGTCGTGACAAGACCATGCTAATAATTAATCTATATAAATAATTATATACAAACCCTCGAATCATTCCGAAGCTATCATCACTACTAAAGAAAGCAGCGCCGGGCAAAACAGTTACAGTTTCCTTTCCAGCATTGATTAGATCCGCATCGACATCATCTTCATTCGGAACAGGACCCAACCCAAGAATACCATTTTCTGATTGCAGTGTCACTTTCACACCCTTCGGGATATAGTTACTAGCAAGTATAGGCATACCGATTCCCAAATTGGCTGCAAAAATTTCCAATTTAAGTACAGCATTGATGAGAAAATTTGATTATGTCATTCAAAATCTTTCAGAGTATCTATATCTTCAATTCAATTATTTTATCAACAAGTTTATAACTTTAAAACTTACCATACATTCCATCCTTAAATTCGAGAGCAGCACGCCTGATAATCATATCCCTCGCTTTACTAGCCGGTGTCACTTTCTTAGGCTTTATGGTTTGTTTCGTCGAACGTTTCTGCAGAAAAAAATTATATTCATGAGACATTTACATAATTAAATATGCATAACAAATATTAATCCAAGTAAATAAGCACCAACCTCAATCCGTTTCTCATAAGATGGCCCCTTCACAATCCTGTCTACAAAAATACTAGGTAGGTGAATGTGATCAGGATTTAATTGGCCTAGTTTCACAATCTCCTCCACTTCGACGATTGTTATTTTGGCCGCCTTGCACATCACAGGATTGAAGTTCCTTGCCGATTTCCGGAAAATTAGATTACCGGCTGTGTCGGCCTTCCACGCCTTCACGAGCGCAAAGTCGCCAGTGATGGCGGTCTCCAAAACATAATTCCGTCCATCAAACTGGTTCACGTTCCTCGGTTCACCCGATATCTCGGCATTACCGTTCTTGTCGTATTTTACAATGACGTTGCCCTCCTGTACGATGGTACCAAAAGCCGTGGGAGTGTAGAAAGCTGGAATGCCAGCACCACCTGCTCTTACACGTTCTGCCAAAGTGCCCTAAGTGAGTAATAATTCGAATTGTAACAATTTGCGAGATTCATGACATACTTTTTCTCGTTTTCAAAGCGTTACCTGCGGCGTTAGTTCAACCTCCAATTGGCCACTAAGATACTGCCTTTCGAATTCAGGATTTTCACCCACATACGATGCAATCATCCTTTTGATCCTGTGTTCCTTCAGCAATATACCCAGCCCAAAGTCTTCTACCCCAGCATTATTCGAAACTACTGTTAGATCTTTTGAACCTCTTTTTAATACAGCTGCTATTAAATTCTCTGGGATGCCACAGAGACCAAATCCACCAACCAAAAGTTTGGCTCCGTCGTGTACATCAGACACAGCTTCCTCTATATTTTTGAAGACTTTTCCATTTCCTACTGGTGTTTTCAGCTTTTCAACTTCCTGTTCCACTTCTGGGATATCAGCTTTGATGGAGAAATTAACGGTGCATACCTGTTAAATGAAATTTAAATTAGATCTGCCTAAAAAATATTCTACAGTGTACCTTTAAAAATTAAAGAATACACTATATTAATAGTTGCAAAAATGAGAAATAAAATATATATATTCAGAGATACAAAAATATACAAAAATATTTTTAAAAATCGAAGATTTACATTAAAATAACAAATCATTAAACAAATAACAGTTTAAATAAATAATTATTCAAGGTGGCTAAATAACATAAAACATAATTAAGAAGAAGCATGTAGCCATGTACGCAGGATGTTTTTTGCAAAGTCATACATTTAAAAAATTTTAAAAGTAAACGTTTCGATTAATTTTTTACCATCTTCAGTACAATTTCCAGAATACGAGATGAAACATGAAAATAACAATTTCTTAAAACGAGTAATTATATACCAAAGATATAACTGCACAATTTCAATTTATTTAAAATGTATATTGCAGATAGTTAATTATATTGCAATATCGCTCTTGAAACAAATAGAGAATTAAGATAACTCTTTCTGTGTGTAGGTTATACGTACGTCTGATAACACAACGAAAGTTGTTTACGCACCCGTGATACTTTTATGGCACCTCGGGGGCCACTGCTCCAACGCAGAAATATACCGCTGACCCCTCTCAATGCGAATGCCATGGTCACCGTATGCTAAACGAACAATTGTTATTCGTAAGACGTATATCAGTCCGTCGGAGGTTAAGCTCGAGACTTAACGCTATCTGCTCCGATATTACTTCATCAATTCTTCTCAGAATATATCTTGTTTGTCTTGATTGTGTATCCTCTGTTTTTTTCGTTGTAATCAGTCTCGACGTGCCAAAATACCTTCTCGCAACAATTGTTAAGGAACTTCGCGCCGCAGAAACCTGCGAAACCTAACCCCTCACTAACAACTCACGCACGGAGGTGCGGACGGTGACTGACTAAAACGGAACGCGCGCCGACGTTTCAAGTTTCAATTTGAAATCATGCGATCAGGAACGTATTAATCGGTGTATTAAAGCTCAAGAAATTGGTACTGTGACTCACACGATTGGGTCGGAAATTCATACAGAAGTATAAAGAAAGTTCAAGAAACAGTTTTAAGAGAAAATTTCGAGTTTAGGGCTCATATATTATAGAACGTTATACTTATAACGGATGTGAGCGTGCATTAGTATATATACATATATATATATGTATAAAATACTTAGAATTTCAGAAATAAAAGCACAAATTACTAGTGTTATTATTGGCATTATTTTTGTAAACAATATTAAAAGTAAGTTATTATTTTTTAAACAATATTAAGTGAATTATTTTCATCTATCATAAATTGTCTTTTTAGTCTTTTATTAATTATAGTTAGCTATGTCTTCGACTTTTTCTTTTTTGGGCCACGGAATCGTTCTAAACCTTATCGCGAAATACAACTCCGATAGAAAACGTGTTTATCGTGTTTACGCCGTTTTGCAGCGAGGACATCAGCTTTCAAACGATTATGCAGATATTAGATATTGATCTGAAAGAAGGACGATTTGATAGCACAACAAGTACATATATCTTCTTATTTTTTTTAATTGCATTTTTTAATACAAGATCTCCACACGACTTCTCAAGAATTATTTTATCTGGACAGACAATTAATTAATTTATTCTATAAAGATACACACAAAAATTTTATGGGTCAGCATTTGCAACATGAAAATAACTCAAAAAGATGCTCTTATTTATTGTATATTATATTAAATAATATTTATTTAATCGTATGTTATATTAATATGTATAAGAATTTATAAAATACAATATTACATGTTTTTAATAAACGCAAAATTATTGAAATTCTTGCGTAATAATGCTAAAGAGAAAAAAAAAATTAGAGAAGTCTGTTTCTTATACATTCAACATAACTGATTTCTCCACATATCTTGATTGTTATCTCAGATAACGAGCATCAATTAACCTCTACAATGACGATATTACATTCTATAAATAGTCATAATCATTTGATTTCATAATAAATATTTATTCAACGTGTGAAATCAATGAAGATCATGCCTTTGTTATAAAGACTTTATTTCTCGGAACTGAATATAATAATTTCTCGCACTCTTACGGTCACATCGCGTGAACTTAAACCTACTTGTAAATCTAATATTCTACATATATGTAAAAAGTTATTAAAATTTAAAAAACGACAAGAAATGCTATAGAGATATTATTTGCAATTACGCACAATACATCATTATGTGAAGATATTAATAATTATATTATTATTTTTAGAATCTCATTAATCAAATTTTTAAAAGCGATCAGCATTGCTACCATCGATTAGATTCAAAATATTTAATAATCTGACTATTCTTCAGTAAAAATTAGATAAGTTGAATATTACTAGTACTTATTGCACATTATTATGCCTTTTAGGATAATAGTAAATTTGAATTCTGTTATGCTCTTTGTACACAATAAAGAATATTTGTTGATATTAAAAAAAGAGTTCCGCTATCATATCATATAGCGAGACGCATATTTGATAAATTTTTTTGATAAATGTATATTCTCGCCTGCAATACATATTCTTTAGCTAACATTGATTATTTAATTGCACTTAGCTAACATTGATTATTTAATTCCAATCTTTTACATTCATCAGTATGTTTATAAGTTTTTTAATGTACAGGGATCTACTTACATGTGAAATCCTTTTAAATGAAGTTTTAATTGAGTTGTATTCCTGTATTTAATTATTTTTTTACATTCTTTGCATGTTGCCTCTGTATCTCCTTTTTGTGTAAAATAGTCCCAAGTCCAACGAAATTTCACTTCTTTCTTCTCTTCTTCTGTTAATTTGTCTGGATGTGCGTTTATCAAGTGCTTGTGTAATATATCTATGAATGTGAAATGTATAATGAATTTGTCTGTACAGTGACTGCATCTTGCTTTGTTACTCCTTGTCAATTTCGTGTAATGTCCACGGATCCAGCGGCGGACTGAAATAAAATTGGCTCCTGCTTCTGTCTCTGCCATTATGATCGCTGTGTACGGAACATTGGTGACTAACCACAGATACATTGATATTGTTCTAGTGAATAAACTTATTTATACACCATTATCCAGTTATCCAGCATTATTAAGGCATTTTAATTTCATGTGAAACAATCATTTCTTCGTCGAATCGACATTGATTGGTTGAGCTATTCCTCGCTGGGATATCCGGTAATAATAATGTTGCTGGTACACGTAGAAAATACAAGGATTTTTTTTTTAAAGTGCTGTAACTTTGCCAAAAATAATCGGAGCAGCTTACATTTTTTTTTTAATTAAAAGGGAAAGTTCAAAATTTATGATGCTACCAACGGCGTCCCTCCAAAAATTGTAGCAAATCCGTGCATTCCGTTAAAATAGGTAATTTTTAATATGACAAACATGTCCTCATCTTTGTAAAGGTTACAATGATAAAAAGGCACTGAACTTGTCGCGCCATTAGAAATTACGTATTTTAATTAGAAGAAAATTCGCTATCCTACGATAATCTTTCGCGAACTTATCGTCAATCAAATTTGACTAACTCTCACCCAAAATTTTTCTA